GATATATGAATAGCTTTTGGCTTTGAAGGCAGAAGGTAGGTGACTACTGACTGTACTTTAGCTGTGCTGTTCAGGACCCCTGTAACCTCTCACAGCCAATGGGAGGAGAGTGACTCCTTTACTCAAGAAGAAATGATGATGTCGTGTGGAGGGTAGACATTGCTTCAGTGCTCTTTTCTATAGGTGGGCACATCCTTAATGTGCCTTGGTTCTCCGTTTTCAGCTAGGTGTGCAGTATAAGAACGAACGTGGCCATGGCTGCTAGCATCCCTTCTTGCCAGTGCCATCCATAGCTTTCCTGTGCAAGGAAGTCTGAAGGGATGATGGGCTGGTGCACATCCAGGTCTCATCCCAACATGCAATCAAGATGTAGCCAACATATACACCTGGGAACAAGGCCCACAGTGTGCTCCTGCCCTATGCTGAAGACAGAGCTGATATCTTTCCCAATTAAAAAGGACCGCATGTGGCAGTTTAATCAACAGCAGCCTATTGCGTTGCCTCACAGTCTATACTCCTAGCTACAGGAGTGGGAGGATGGGAGGAAGGTATCTTCGGCTGCAGTCCCTCAGTGAGTGCTGTTCACATGTGTCTCGTTCTGCAGGGACCTCCAGCCACTGGGAAGTGGAGAGGGCCTGGGGAAGCAGCACAGCCTAGACTGTTAATCCGCCTTGGATGGTAACAATTCATTTATTTTTACTGGTGAGTAGGATGAGAGCAGCTTAGAAATTAAAGCCTTTTGTGCAGCTTTTTAAAACTTTACAGCTACTATGTTTCTGCATTTGTTCTTAATCTTTCTTAACTGAAAATATGATCAGGCTTCTTGGGTTGCCAGCAGAAAATATTAACAGCAGCCGCAGACTCCCATTGTTTTTGCATGTTTATAATTTTCTGAGCCGTTCCTCCCTCCCTTGAGCAGTGTTTCAAACTGCTCATCTCTGCAATTTTTCTAAGTCTATTCTTGGTACTTTATCTCCCCTCCCCATCTAAACTGGCTATTCATTCAAGACAATGTTGAAAAATGGAAGGATGGGGAAAACTGCCACAAATGTACTGCTTCAATTAGCTAGGGAAATCCATGTGCTGCTCCTTGCAGGGAGAGGGGGAAGAGACCAACACATAGCATACCATACATAGCATACTCTTAAGCTTACCATTTGATAGAATTTTTTTGGCATTCCGTAAATACGTTGAGATTTGCCATCTCACCTGTTTTTTAGTTTTGTGTGTGTGTGTGTTAGAATTGGCTACACACATGAGAAGGTGGAAAAGCCGAGGCCTGTGCATTCCCAAGGGCTGAATGGTACTCAGACAGATGGGCAGAAACTAGAGCCAACTATGGGTAACCTTTGTGTCTTCTGGGGCAAGAGAAGGAAAGACGATCCTGTGATCCTGCTGCAGCAGGTCTTGTGCTGCGACACAATGCCTTTGTTCTGTGTAAAAAGCCAGCACAATGCAACTGTGTGGTCAAAATGAACAATTAGAAAAAACAATAGAGGAGAAGCAAATGGTATGGGGTAGTCTAGATTCCTCCAAACATTTTCTTGCTCTAAGCCTGTAGCTTCTACAGGTGCTGAGGAAAAGCTTGAAAAAGAGGTAGATGCAATCTGAAAACTAAAAGAAAAATCAAAATCCCAAACCTTCCCTCTCCTAAATGAATGAACTGAACCTATTCCTGTTAAACCAGTCTCTGTTTGTGAACACAGGGCACTTAATATTGGCTTGTAAATAAACAGTGCTTTATATTCCCTCCTCCTTCTTCTCCATGCTCTCTCTCCCAATAAAATATCAAAATAAACCCCCTCTAGCTGGTGGAGGGAAAAGATGGGGAACAGGTAAACTTCCCCTTCTTGTCTGTGTGTGTTGAGAAGGAAAGGAGGGAAAAGCATAAAGTATAGAAAGGGTACCTCAGGGGGGCTGGGGAGTTCAAAAAGTCATAATTAGTCACAGTTAAAATTCAGCTGCAAACTGGAAGGCTTCTAGTGGTTTAAGAAATTAAGTCAGGGAGCATCTGTCTAACCAGTGTAGTAGAAGCAAGGTACCTATCTGTTTTAAGGTGATGCTCAGTAAGATTATGGAAAGGTTTGTGTGACAAATTAGAGGAATTCATAGAAAGGGTAAATTAAGCTTGTGATTGTAGCCAATATTTAGAGCTCTTTAAGGGAAGGAATTTTTTCACATCTGAAGTCAGCCTCATGCAGCTCCTGCGCTGCTTTGCTACTCCCTCTAGCAGGAAGGATGAATTTGGGCTTGCTTGGAGCCCTTCTGCTACTGTCAGGATGGAGCTTGGGTCTTGGTCACCTGGGGTGAAATGGGAGCATACAAGAGGTAGAGAAAACATCAGCCTAGAAATAGCATGGTGCCATGGTGCAAAGAGTGTCTTTTCCCCATCCCACTTCCTGTAATTAAAATAAGGCTTGTTCTCACGCTGAGGCACCGAGTCTTTGGCTGTATGTACTCGCAGCAAAGTCAGTGGGAATATGCAGGATTTAGGCTTTCAGAAGGGCCTTTTGGTTTGTGTGCAAGTTTATTTGAAGGGATGTGTATGAAGTTTCTTTTTCTCTTCATCTTTTCCTCCTTGTCTCCAGAGTTTAAAATGGAAGATGGATGGGCAACTTGAGTTCAAACAAGAATCCCCCGCCAACCCCAAAGCCTCAAAGGTGCAACTTGGGGCAGATTTTAGCGATGGTGGCACTGTTGCAGTGATTGCCCAGTCTCTCACTTCTCTAAACAACTTACCTTTTTTAGTGGTCAGTCTAAGACCTGGTGTCGAGATCATTTAGCATCACGGGAAGGTGTTATCATCTCGTAATAAGCTATTTCTCATTGTTTCCAAGGACTTACGCTGTGCGCTACATCCTCTGGGGCTGGAGCAACTAGCTAAGCTTACTTCATGTAAAGACAATGTAGAGTAGCCCAAAGAAGTCATTGCTTGTTTGCTAATAGTTTCGGCAAGTGATTAGCAAAGCATTTTTTCCTGTGTATTTCATGTTCTGGGATCTGTGTAAGTCCAGCTAAAGTGTGTATTGCCAGAAGCATCAATTTACAATTAAGGGTCTCCAATCCAGACAGTGATGCGTAGAGGTAGGGATTCAAACCTCTGACAATTGTTTATTAAATTGGATGTGGAATGAAAGTGTGCAATGAAGGGGTGCTGTTTGGAGGGGCTGTCTGGCCTAGCTAGATGCTGGTGAAAAATTAGCTTAAATTGTGACCCCCGAACGGGTGGCAGAGAATCAGCTCTTATGTGTACGTGTGGGTGAATGTCTGAAGTTTATCTCTTGAACGCTCAAGCGGAAGCCTGCCACTCGCTAGCTGCAACCCGCATGGGCTGGTGGTAAATTTAGCAGCACCTGGACTAAGCAAAAGTGGCATGTCCTGGACCCTCCAAATAATGAAGGGTCGTGGGACAAAACTGCAAATGAGGACATTTCTCACACCTTGTGCTTCTGCACACAGACTATTTAAAGTGGGAAAACTGGAGGCTTGATATACCAGAAAGAGGTGCTGATGCCAAAACAAAGGGTTTCCAGAGAGGGGGGGTGGGGAAAAAAAAGGAAAAAGAAAAAAAAAAGTGGTCTGGGAAAGAAGAAAGTGAAGGTCTCAGCTGGTCAAAAGATCCTGGAAGTGGGGGAAGAGCCTGGAGACAGGGGAGCTGCGTGGAGATGGCCGCCAGGGGTGCCCAGGGACCTTGGCTGGTGATGCCCAAGACCGGTAACTGTGAGCAGCGGCACCGCGGGATCCGACAGGACGTTGTGCCTGACCTTCCCGGACCAGCAGCGATCTCCTCGCTGGGAAGGGAAGGCGAGACCTCGTGAACAAATTTGTCAGCCCAGCGCATAAATATCGTTGATTTGGGTAAGGTTTAACATGGTAAAGGAGTTCCAGCCCCTGGTCCTCAATGCTCCTGAAATTTTTTTGGTGGGAAACTGGAGCCTGGGGCTTCTCCTTTTAGTTTGCTCGCAGGTTATAACAAGAGTTATTGGTAATACTGCCCTTGGCTTATTAATAAGCAGCTTTATGTCCCAGAGGAAGACAAAACCAAAAACATTTGACGCATACAGATGAGAGAACTAAATAATTTCAGTTACTGTCCGTGGTGGAAAAGAGTCTGGGTTTTTTCAATTTTTAAAAAAAATTTATTTATTTTTTTAGAAAAGGAAAAAAAACTCTGCATGGTAGAGTGTATGGTATATCATCTCAAAACATAACAAGTGATATGGAATGGATTACTTCCCAAACTATTTAAAGTTGAACCTAAAATCATTTGTAAATCAATGCTCATTACCATGTAAGACAAAGGCAAACAATCAACGTTTTTTTTTTTGTTTGTTTGTTTGGTACGGATTTCCTCGATCACTTCAGCCTGAATTTTCCCAGGGTTGGGGAGAAAAGGGGGGCAAATACTGCCCATTGTCCTAACCATAATTGTACTGACCAAGCTTTGTGCTTTGACATTTAGCATCGTATGGCTTTATATATGTTCCTAAGTGAACAGTGCAACATCATCGCCATCATAAGTGTTTATTCCACATTCAAACTGTAACTGAACATGACTCCAAAACCCTTCCCTGCTCCCAAAACAACAACAACAACAACAAAAAGCGCAAAGTCTCCAGCAATCAGATTTCATCCCAGAAATCTGTGTAAACTGTAGATCAGGGTTGGGTAGCAGCACAGAAGACAAAGACGTGACAGCATGATTCAATAGCGTCTCTAAAGACTACTGTAAGACTGTCATTCTTTAGTCTGTATCTTGCAATCACAATTTGCTTTTTCCCTGCAGTACTATAAAGCAACAGTAAAATCAGACTCAAAAAGCAAAAGGTAGAAGCCTTTACGGAAAGGTAAAGCTTCCATTTAGCTTTAATATGGTCACTATTAGGAACAGAACTCTGTGATTAGGCGCAAATCTTGAACGTATATACATGATTTTGGTGAAAAGGGATGCAGCCAAGGATGGAGGGCCTCTCATCACACCTGCCAGATGTTTTGGTTTGTAAGCCAGGCTGCTACACTGCCGTTTTGGACTGAATAAACAGGCTAGAGAGGATCTGTATGAATTAAGCGCTCTGCAGGCTCTCGTCTTTTCTGTTCCTCGGCTGCTCCTGGGCCCCCGGCCCCTCTCCGCTGCCGGACAAGACGAGTGTCCAGTGCAGCGTTTGGGGGGGGGAGGGGGGATTTCTCTTTGTCCCCTCTTCCCCAGTCCTGGTGGAAGGTATCTAATTAATAATTAGATAAGGAGGAATAATAACTGTAAGCAAGTATAGTGAACCTCCCCCTTAGAATTGAGAGAGAGCAATAGCGTCAAACAAACTCCCATTTGTCCTGGTGTGTTTTACGTAACCTTTCCAGAGCCTATAGAGCAATCATACCCAGGCATTTTTCATACTAGAATTTAAAGGCGTTGAAGCTGGTAAAGAAACTGGATGTTTCCTGGCCTAACTGAAGGAAATCATAAAACCGATTAAAGTATAAGCGAAAGAAAGTAAGCATTAGTGTGTTTACATCCTCTGCTATGTCCTGCTTCTCTACCTTCTGCTCCATCCTCCAAGCAAGCGCTCCCAAACTGAGAGAGGTAAAGCTGCAGCTGAAACCTCATGGCTGAGGTTTTTTTTTTTTTTTGGTAATACCATAAATGTGAGGAATTTAGTGGATCTGTGTGGGGCATGTTCAGGACAAGGCTTGTTCAGTGAATCAGCAAAGGAGAAGACTGGACATGGTGTAATCTCACAGAGGAAAACCAATTTAATAGTGTCCTGAAGCATGGCGCTAGCTTAGTGTATATAGCATCAGAGAGTTTGGATGAAAGTCTCCAGCCTTTCTGGGTGTCCAGTCACAACCATGGAAGCTGCAGGAAGTTTACTGTAAAACTCCAGTATTGAAATGTCTGAAGAAACTGGACCTTTAACTTAAATGGTCACTGATTTTAAGTTTTGCACAGTCAATTCTAGCTAAAAAGAAAAGAAACAACAAAACTTTAAGAGTAGCTGATGTCCCTGCTGTTGGAGCCTTAAGACACCTGTTATACTGCTGAGCCCTACTCTTTTTTTTTTTTAATAAAACACTGTTTTAAGATGCAGCACAATAAATGTGCTTATTACGCACTCTAACATAGAGCACAGAAATACAACACTACAGAGTGCAAGTCTAACCATCTCCACAGTGGGAAAAGTGCGAAGGTTAAAAATATGCATGTGGCTTAACACAAGACATTTTTTAAAAAACATGACATGGAAATCTCGTACTAATGCTTTCATCTTTATCACAAAATGAGTGAAAACTTATGGTCAGTTGCTGATTCTTCTCTTGTAGTAGTAGTGTAACCCTTTCAAAGGTAAAATGTTGGAAAGATCAGAGAATTAAAAAAAAAAAAGTGTCCAAAAAATGATCCCATTTACCACTTTTCCAGTAGTTAGGTTTTTCAAGAGGTAAACACATAAGGTCACCTTGCTCTTCACCATCAGTAAGTGATACACTCTGAAACTGCGAAGCCAGCCACCTGGCCTGAGATCAGTTCAGCGTCACACGCGCGCGCGCACACACACATACACACACAAACACCCCACAGGAAAAAGTGCACTTTCAATTGCTGATACAAAAATAGATTGGCACATTCTTTTTGACACAGTGAAGATATCCTCTTTAAAAGCTTTTTCACAACGTTAAGAAGTCCTTTTGTAAGAGTCGCAGCAGGTCGGTAGAAAAAGCACTAGGAGAATGCGCTCAAGTGGGCTTTCTTTTGGGGTTTGTGTGATGGAGAGAGGGGTGGTAATGGAGACTGCCCTTCAAATTTTTTTATGTCTGATTCAGGTAACTAACTTGTACATCCATAGTCCCCACGGGTAGGGTCAGTTGCCACCCAGTTTCAGCAAACGTTAACCATTAACCAACGTGTCGGTCCTCACCTGCTTTGAGAAAATAACAATACGTAAATTTGCCAAAGCTGAGAGTCTTAAGTCAACGCAGGGTTTCCTATATGTTGCTGGAAAAACTGTTTTAGAGAGAGAGAGAGAGAGAGAGAGAGATAAGTGTTACAAGTCTGCTTTTGCATTTCCAGTAGTAACTGCAGCTCCCCAGAGCTAAGTGGAAACAGTCCGGCGCCCCTTCCCAGAAGGGCAGCCAGTGCTAGGAGTTCTGGATCAAACGTCTGTAGTGCGGCATCACTTCGTGCTCAGGCAGGTGGAGCGCAAACTCCAAGGCCACCAGCACCGGGAATTCGAAGGCGATCAGCTCGCGCCGGTTCAGTCGGAACTTCTCTTCCAGTTTCTGTAACAACAACCAAGTGAAAAATGTCTCTGTGAATGACTCTCTGTTTCTTGCAGCGGACGTTATTCAAGACATTTAAATAAGAGCGGTGCTGCTCTCGTTAAACTTCTGCCTTGCTCAATTTGCACGGCTCTAGATTTAGAAAACTAGCGTTATGGCTTTCTCCTCCTATCTCTGAATGAGCCTTTCTAGACAGGCAAAAAACTGGCATCAGTGCTGGCATACTCGGCTTCTTATTTAGATGATCTAAAGCCTGATCATCCTGATGCTCCTTCCTTACTACCACTTTGCTCAGCAGGATGCTTCTCTTTTAAACTGATCTGAATGTGCCAAGTGGCAACTTATGACTGCATAATGCTATGTTGCTTTGTATTCCTCCTTCTCTTTATGGGGCAGTACGTGATAAACTACTGGGATAAATCGGACCAACTGATTTCTTACCGGGAAGGTGGTTTACAAAGTTCAGCTGGACATGCTATTTCTGATATTTTACTCATTCCATTTCTAGCAGATATAGCTTTTAATGATAATAGCGCTTATCCATGCAGGAAGAGGACATGCCTAGCTTCATGCAAACATTGAGAGCACTTGTGTAGTGGAATACATGCATCTTACAAGTGCCTAGAAAATTCATACTCCGCTTGTAATCATAAATTTTATTTTCCACGTTCGAACGTGTTAGAACGTCCTATTGGGGAAATTAGTTCCACTACAATTAGGTTTATTTGATCTTATGGATACCTCAGAGGCAAGAAGTGTCATCTGCAACAATCGTAAGAACAATCAGTAAAAGAAACTCTGCTATCTGCAAGGGGAGAGGAGATGGGTTTCCTAGTTGACTTTCCGCGGTAACTTACTAAACCTCTCATCTGTTCTGCTGTTTTCACTGGATGTGGATGCCAGAAGAAGGCAGCCAGCTGCGCAGGGATCCCCCCCCCTAACCTAGGTCTTCTTATCACCTCTCTGGCTTGCTGCTGCTTTGCCCACTGGATCTAACGAAAAGCTCAGAGTGCCTTAAGGAAGGACCAATGGGGGTAGCAAGAGAGGCCAGCTCTTCAACTCCCACTCCTTTAATTTTTTTCCTGGTTATGTGGAGGACATTCTAACAAACTGACTGCCGAAGCAGTTCTGTGACTGTGGAATAAGGGTATGACTCCAGTTTGGCTCCCCAACCAAGTTCTCGTGTCTCTCGAACTAAGCAGAATTTGGCTGTAGCCAAGCACCAAACTGCCCATACGATTTTCTGTAGAGTTATATGAGACTGACGTTTTAGTGCTTGCAACAGGGTTAGGGAATGACATTCCCCTCCCTCTGTTAACCCTTTAACATGAAGAAGGTAGAAGGCCAAACACCCTGCTCCACAGGACACAAGTTGAGGTGAAGTGTTCTCATGGGAAGCAATGCCTTATGCCGAAAAGCTTATCCTGATGAATGAAATCCAAACCTGGTAGCCTATTACACTGCTTCCTAAATTAATATCTGCATTTACCTTTCAAAGGAGAGTCCTTAATGGCTCTTGAAAATATAATTAAAAGTAAAGTGAATGCCCTGAAGGTTAACTTTTGACTTGTAGTGCGTAAGACAGTATCTGACCCCAGGCTGTTCAATCTCATCAAGCAAGCTTCTCACTCCTCTGCAGAGACTGGTCACTACTACTTCTACATAAATGTATAATAAAGGAAGGAAGTTAGCTGACTGAAGAGCTGGAAACCTAGAGAAGAGCCAAGACCAGCCTGTCTTGACTGTGCACAGCCTGTGGAAGAAATGCTGGAAGCCTAGGTATACGTACATCTATAAGATGCTTGACTTCATGTTTTCTGAGGTCGCTGCCAATTTTGGCTGCTAAGAGAACACAGGCTCCAGCACAAAGCTTTCTGTTTTGCTTGTTCAGCTTGCCCTTGAGCGCGAGCTTCTCGAAGTACACAAAGGCCATGGCCACTGTGGGCTCTTCGAACCCGCACTCTTCTTGAGCAAGCTTGCGCATTTCTCTCTTCAAGCTGTGTAAAGAGACCAGACAAGCACGCTGTGAGCTGCATGTTAAAGCATTTCTCATTTCACCATAACAGTTGTTCTTTCAGCAATCGCTGCTTAGTCAAATGGAGGGGTAAAGAAAAATGTCATTTATTGGGCAACTCCCCTTATACTCCATCTTGGGGATTACTTTTCGACCTCACCCTCATCCCTAATAAATCCTTGTAACAAACTAGAGAAGTAACTAAGAAAAAGCTTTGACGCTTTTAATAAAAATACTTCATCGGAAGCTACATATAATTTATTTAGTAACACCAACTTCATTGCTTGTGATCTATATGCAGCTTTACTGTTGGTTATGTTTGTTCAAAATCAATTAACAATCCCTCAGCGTACTGCTGAATTCTCTACTTACTGAACAACGTGGATCACTATCCTTCTGAACACCTCCAGCTGAGGAGTCAAATGAAGTCATTATTGCTTCAGCGAAGCAAAATATCTAGCCTGCTACACAGGAAACAGTGAGGAAATATTACCCCTTTGCTGTGAAGCTGACCACTTATTTTGCTTCTGGCAATGCTCTCTGAACAAGGCAAAAAAAATCCAAGATCCAAATCTTTCCTCGTGGTCTTTTAAAGCTAAGTACCATGAGCTCAGAGACTTTTTTGCGTTATTTTCTGGGTCTTATAGTATAGCGCACACCCAGTTTGTAGCCTCACCCCCTCAGACATTGTGTTTTACACCTGACTGATGCATGGTTGAACACATTCCCCTGTTTTGTTTCCTCAGGCCACTAACCACAGCAATAATGACTTATTCAGCACCTCCCAGGTGACTGTTCCTGGAAAACCGATCGATACCGCACTTCTCTTCACGTACAACAACTGTACTGAAACGTCAGGTAGCTGCATCCTATTGCAGCCGTACCAAGCTTAGCGACGTACCTTCGTATTTTACTGAGAGTTAACTTGATGTGAGGGAACTTCTCCTTAAAGGTCTCATTCATGTCCTTCTTGAGATCTGATGGCTTCACATAGTCAATGACTGTGGTCTGTAACAGATCAGCCAAGAGAAAATGATTCCTGCAGTCTGTAACCAACACGATGATTACTCAGTACCACCCTCCCCCGCTGAAAAGTAAGGAATACCAAACAAGCGTTGGTCCTAATGTTTTCTGACAGGGGAAAAATTAAGTCTGAATTAAGGTAACGATTTGCTTGTGACTGCTCTGTCAGGACAAGTGACCTGAAATCTGGAAAGACCATTCAGCACAAGCCCCAAACACCATGTGCCTTATGAGAAGCCTTCCAGATATGAATGAGTTTAAGCTAAGTGTGGGTGGATAAAACCTAGCTAACAATTCTGGTGAAACCAAAACAAGTCACTACAGTAATTGATTTGATGACCAGATTTTGTGTGTTTTTCTCTAGGCATTTCTGAAGCATATTGCTAGTTCCTTTCAAACTGATTAAGGGAACCTCTGGTACAAATTCTTGAGTCCTAACATCGTACATTTGTAATAAAATGGGCACTGAGCGCAAATGGTGGGTATTTCAATACAATGCAAGATATTAACACTGTCATAACTTACATAAGTGGATGGAAATATTGCATTAGGACAACGTTCTGTGTGTATCTATCTTCTTTACATTAAGATTCCTACTCCTTTCTGTCACAACTTGAAAACATTTCCCTAAATGTAAGATGGCCCTCCTGACCAATATTGCAATACTACTACGTGTGTGTGTGGGGGGGGGTGGGTGTGTGTAGCACTATTCCTAATCCTTCAGCCTCCATTCAGGAAGCACTTTTCCAAAATCCTGTCACCACTCAGCCAGCAAAAACCTATCAGCCAAACAGCAAATAAACCCTCATTCTGGGAATGTGCCAATTTTCCTCCTGTGGCTGTTTCACTGCTTGGACAGAAGCAGAAAAGACCGCCGACTTGTGCAGCCCGGAGACAACCTGGTTGCGAGGCACTGAGCTCCCAGCCAGCTTCAAGTGTGGACGGAGGAGAGCAGTCTGCAGTGCAATGGGCTTTTACCTCCTGGTACTATACGCGCATCCTATGGTGCCAAATCCTAGCAAACAGCTGGTGGGTATGTCCCATATGGATTATATATTCTGCATTCTCCTTGCAGTAAATTCTAATTTCTGTTTACGATGAACCTGTATTACGGCAAACGGCCATTGCTCTCAACGGAAAGAGGTGCGAAACACTTGCCACATGTTATGCCTTTTCACAAGATTGAGCCTCGCTGTGTTATATCCTCATGGGAATCTAAAACAGCCAAAAGGCCAGTGTGCGTATTCTTGCAGGGTTTTTTTTTTCCCCCCCCCATAATTAAAACAGTATATGAAAGGCTTTGGGGAGGGGAGACCGTAATGGCTTTGGACAACTGTTGTTAACCAGTCATGATGTTCTTGGCTGGATCAGAAAGGAGCCAGGAGAGGAGCAAAACACAATTAGTTTTTCTTGCACTTCTTCATTTAGAAGCTGTGATACTCAAGTAAGGGATAATTACACGAATTTAAAAGGAAGCACAGTATGCTCCCCCCCACCAATAGCACACAGCAGTACTTGAGGTAAATGGATGCTGTAAGGAAGAGGAAAAAGCAACTTCGTGCCACATGGCATGGTTCTGGTCATGCACACATTTTCAGTGGTGAGGGCTGTTCTGCTATCATCTGCCACGCAACATGAGATCCATCATCTGTCCCGACAAAAAGCTCCCGCTACCTCCTGGCAGGCAATTCTGCGGGGCCTGTCCAGCCCAACAGTTGCTTTTCTTAGGTGAGACGGATGACCGCTTGCAAGCTCCCTCCGACGCAGTTATGTGTGAAGCACCAATCCAGACGTGACTCAGTAAAGCGGACAACTTCCTAAGGAAAGTCTGCCTAATTGTTAACTACAGCACGTGACGCTCCGCTGAAGGGCGGCACGTGAGTCGTGCCCGTTGGGGTGGCGCTCGCCCCTACCCCGAGAAGCATGTACCGGAGAGGCTCCCGCTCGCGGTGGGGGGACGGCGAGCGAGCCCGGCACCCGCGGGCTCATCCTGCGCCCCGGTGGCGCTATGGGCAGGGAGACCCCCCTCGCTTTACCTGACCCCCCCCCAACTGCCAAGGAGAGATTTGCCAATATTCATCTAACGTCTTTTTCAAGGGAAAAAAGGCCACTTGTCCTAAAGGAAAGCGCTCAGAAGCCTGAGAATAAGCAGGCAGCTTAAAACTGACAACGGTGACAAAGTGGGGTTATTTTGAAACGCAGAGATTTGTCGATTTTTGTCCGGTCGATAAGACTCTCCCCCCCCACCCCCTTAGCTGCCCCTTCCTGCTAGACAACAGCCTTTGCCACGTAAATCACAAGAACGAAAAGCGGGCGAAAGCTAGCGTTGTGCTGGTTTTGAGTCATGTAACAGGATAACAGCAGCATGTTTGCACACACCGCCTGCAAGGCAGCTGTCTCATCCTGTCAGTGCCACGCCGGATTGCTGAACTAACCGCCCTTCTTCTCCAGAAAAGGACCTGTGCAACTCCTTTGCCCCCTCCCCGCTCCCCTCCCTTGACTTTTCCGGTAGGTGCTGCAGAGCCCCGACTCGCCTCTGAGCGGGGGCATGTCGTTCCCCTGGCCCGGGGAGAGGCAGAAGGCGAAAAAAAAAGGCAGACGGCGAAAAAAAAAGAAAAAAGAAAAAAAAAGGAAAAAAGGGAAAAAAAAAGGAAAAAAAAAGGAAAAAGCAAGGTAAAAAAGAGTCTGTTGCCAGGTAATTTGACAGCACTGCAGAATTACGTTTGTTGGCTGAGCGACTCAGTTGCCTCTTCTGTTTCAGACAAGGCTTCCAGCGCCTTGCTTGCTGTAACACTGTGACTAAAGCAGAAAACCTAGGGGGGGCCTAGGTAGAAAAGCAAGGTCCAAGGGTCTCCATCCGTCCGTCCGTCCAGCCTCCCGCCATCCTTCCCCGGAGCGGGGTAGCGCGGGAGCCTCCGTGCCCCGCGAATGCCTCAGCGCGGAGCACGGACCTGCTGCTTCCCCGGAGGAAGAAAAGCAGATGGAGCGCAGGAAAATCTTTGCGCGCGCGAGAAAACCGCAAGGGCCAGGTGGGACCTCCCTGCCGGCATGGGAGCGCCGTGACCTAACCTCATCCTTTGCCTTCCTCTCGCCTGCTCAGCATCTACTTCTCTTTTCCCTTCTCTGTTTTAAATGGTTTCTTACTGCTCCTGAGCTGTCGGTGAGTCACGAAAGAAGCCGCCGCCTGGAGGAGAAGACAGCGGGGATTTTTTTTTCCTGCCTGGAATAATTCTGGTAGCACCTGTATAGGAGCACTGCTCCACACTGATGCTCCAAATTTTATGAAGGGTTTGCAAATATTTCCCGAAATGGAGCATAGCACTTTTCTACACCAAACATGCATTACTTTATTATATATGATGCTGTTTTCCACCCAGCAGGCGTCCTGCACCTCCGGAGCAGCCAGACACACGAGGAAGGCGCTGGGAACTACCAGCCGGCAGCTCTAATGCGCCGATCTCCAAAGTTTGTCACTGCTGTCATCCACAATGGGTCTGTCTTGTTTCTCACGGCTTATTTGCACAGAACGCATTTCACTTCAGTACTCAGAAGTACTCCTTGGCGAGCGCTGTTCGTGTTGTCTGTATACATACACAAAGCTGTGTATGTATTTTTTCCTTTGGCGATGGAAGTTGCAAGACAAATGGAAGCGTTGATATATGGTAGCTGGCAGATGCCTGGACGGCGTGAGGCATGCCGGGGCTGAAGTCTGTACTCGGCACGCTTCTCTTGCAGGGCTGGCAGTTTTGAACTTGGAGGTTAGTTTGTGTGTTATTCATAAGCATTTTCGAGCAGCTGCTTTCTCATAGGAAAGCTGTATATATAGTTTCATAAATAGGGGAGGAGGGAGGATGCCTGAAATGACTGGAAAGACTGGCAAGATGAAATATTGTTGAAAATAAATCCTACTTTGGCATGCTACCAGCAGAAGAGGATCTAGCTTTGGATGCCTCTATCTCCCTCCAAAGAAGGATGAATAAAATCAGTATGACAAAAGTGAACAAAATCAAAGTTCCACAGTAGGGTCTCTTCAGGTATCACTACCGTGGACATCTAATAAATCTACTCCACACAGAGCAGACAGACGGCTCGTATGTTTAACAGAAGCACAATGGTAAGTCACGAACTGCATAAGAAACGCAAAGAAGTCCATGGACTCTCCAGTGGTCTGTGCAATGCTGCCTGGCTACACCTGCGCAGCTGCAAACTGTCAGCAGCCTAATGCAGATGCTTATGGCTGACGATGCTGATGTACAGGAAATTTTCTGAGGGCAGAGGCTTAAAAGAATGAAACAAAATGGGAGCAATTCTCTCTTCAAAATGAAAAAAAAAAAAAAAGGAAAAGGAAGACTAAAAGATGATGTTTCCATTGTTTGAAAATTATTAACATCTAATTCTAAATATTTAGAATTTCACAAGGAAATAATCTCAAAACTGCCTTTCTGGAATAAAGTGCCTGGAAGGATACCAGTTTATTTCATAGAGTTAACACGCTGAAATGCTTCTCAATTAATACATATGAGTCACTGTTACAAAATACGTGTACTGGAGACTCAGCCGGATACGGCATCAAATGCACACCGCGCAGGGTTTAAATGTGCGTATCTCCCACCGCTGGGATCCTCTGCTCTCTGCGACTCTCGGCTACGAGGTCAGCAGCTGATAAAAGAGCGACCTGGGGATGCTTAACTGACCGCTACGGAAGCAGCCCCAGGAAGGCGGTGAGGGCATCGGAGGCGTTCGCTGTACCGCAGGACTCCTGACCTTGATGCCCCTTGCGAAAGGCCCTAAGGGGCAGCGAGGGACTGAAGGCACTCGATCACCACGCAGGGTTTGGTTAGATTAAGTGCGCTGGGCTGCCAGCACTTCTCATTTTCAAACCACGCTGCAGCACCACTATTTCCTAACGCAGGCTGGCTGTGCTTGACGCTGGTGCTGCGCTTGGCAAGCGCGGCCCGCTCTAAGGGCGCTGCAGCCTTTTGCGACACGCTTTTTTATGAGTAAGTGGTGTACAGCTGTCAATGTATTTTGACATAATTAAACAAATACACTGAAATTGTCATTAGGCACCAAAACCAATTTTCAGGTGCATCTCTTGGGCATGGCTAGATGGATGATGCAGGGATGCTGCACTCAGACGCAGGACGCTACTGAACTGGGCTTTTTTCCTTTTTCTGCAAGTTTTGGTAGTACGTACCAGCCAGCTGAACATGCTCCCGTATCTTTATGCTACCAACAGAAACAGAGCTGTGTGAGCCAACCTGGTGTGTGCTGCAGAGTGAGCTTTCCCTTTCTGCGCAGAATGGATTTTGTCTCTGTTCACCAGAGCGCAAGGAGATCAGCCAGACAGCGAAGAGTTTGCATGTGCACAAGTTGACAGGAGAGTCTGGCAAAGAAGTTACTCTTCTGTCTGATAAATAAAGGGATTTCCTATTCCAGAGAGATTTAAGAATCTGCAAGAATTCCTATTTTAGCACTATCAGCCAGGAAGACATCTGTTAACCCTGACATGATGTTTCCCTCCCCTCCCTCCAGCATGAATTCTTCTACCTCTTATTGTTTATATTGTGGTAGAGATTGTAGGCTCTCCTACAAAGACAACACTAAGTGAAATAATTTCTCCGGGGTAGACCAGAATTTAAATATGACTAATATAATTAACAGTCGCTGTAGGGTTTGGGCTGGAAAATTATTTCAGTTGCCTTTTCGGCATCACTCCCTACCAGGCTGCTTGTATCACTTTTAGAAATGCTAACAGGGATGTATGCTTTTTAAAGCTAGGAACTTCAACTACAAAAAAAAGACCAAACTAAAAGCAATTCTCCTTCCCCACAGCTATCTTCGAGGAGGAAGCTCAGCTATTGCTTGCAAGCAGCTGAGGACTTGCAGTAAAAAACTTCTGCAAGTCCGGACTATTTCAGCTACGTAAAATTATAAGAGTATAAAGCCAGTGTAAGTGATAATAAACTTGGGCTCCGCAAGAAGGGAGGAAGCTGCACATCACACAGGCGGGAGTGCTAACTGCGCATATTTCAGATTTAAAACCAAGGAAGGACCAGAAATGTTGTACGCCCTATACCTTGGGATAAAGCCTGCAGTGTTCACTGATGCAAAATTCACGCCGATCGCAGTAGAGTTTTACCAGAGGAAACACTCCGGCTGGCAAAGCCCGAGTCGGGCTCCCGGGGGTGACGGCTGTGCATTTAACCCTGCTCTGCAGTCAGCAGTGCCACGCAGGCTCGCTGGGGCTGAGGATCGAGCCTCACGCATGTCAAACACCGGGCGCTCAAATTCTTGTCACGCTCCTTCCCCCCCACCCCCATTAATTGCTCTCCACATCCATAAGGAGGGAGAAAAAGGAAAAACAAAAAGAAAAAAAACTCTATGAGCTTGCAGCTGCCAAGCACTCATGCTAAATGCGGGCCAAATAACGAAACTTTAATTATAAGCTGCAGCTCTCTACTCACAACAAAATGTTCAGTGCTGACATCAGAGCCACTCTCAGCTGCTCCGGCACTTGTGAGAAGTAACAATTAAAGCTATATTCCACTCAGGACCACAAATTGGTTGAAATCTCTGTACAGTAGGTCTACATCCCTGCAGTCATTTCGCAGAGGTCTGTTAACACTAAGACGGCTGTGCACGCTCAGGAGAAAAAAACCACAGGTTTCTCTCTGACCTCAGGCTGCGATTTGCCTGAATTGCAGCACATGCCGATTTTTCTATTTCAGAAAGAAAACGACTAGAAATTGCAGCCTGCCATGCTGCTGTTCACTCTGATGGGAGCTGCGGGGAAGGGAAGCACTGGTTGAGTCGGGAAGGCATAAAAGCAATGCAAGTGAGGTCTTCTGTGCAGCCCATACGGCCTAGCTGTTAACCAGCAACATGCATAAACTCTCCTTACTGGCAGCCCAAGTTTCAACATCCTGTTTAAACCCGTGAGCTCTGGGGGCACTGCAACACTACCTTTTTCTCCCTCCCTTCGCTCCTCTAAAGGGAGCATCGGTGCCTAGTGAAATTTCTCAGCAAGGCTGTGAAGGACAAATACCCATTCTTTAGTTTCTAGTAAAGCTGCGTAACTCCTATGTTGCATCACAGCTAGGCTACTTCACCCAGGCGCAGGCCAAATCCTTGAACCACGGACAAAAGAGCTCTTGGCACGGGCCAGTTATTCCCATCGACAAAAGAAACACAAGAAACAAGACAGAGAGGACAGAGCGTGACAGACCCTCGGTCAGTGCTGAAGTGGTGACGGCTGGAAGTCAAACCCAGGCAAAAAAACCCTAAATGTGAAATAAGGCATTTTTCCAGATACAACAGTAGCTGACCTAGAGAAAATGAAAAAGCAGGGAGACCTCGCTCAGTGCTTTTCTGGAAGATATAGTCTAGACAAACAATACCATTGATCTTAATAATTACCCCTGCAGTCCATGTTTCCCCTTAAAAATACCTAGTCATATCTCTACCGGAGTGGAAACCCCCAGCCAGGTCCTTACTGCCATGAAAGTCCAAATGTGGACCTCAAAATGCTGCAGTTAACTGAAGCTGGCCCAAGCAGGTAAAAGAAGGGCATCAAACATGTGCTCCTGGGGGGAGATCTCCCCTGCAGAAAGCTGTCCCGGCTGCCTTATTTTGGCTCGCCCCGCTGTGTCCATCTCAATGCCAACTTGAAAAGGGATCGAAGACTTTAGGTGATCTTAGAGGACTTGGCTTTGCAGTCTGAGGAAGGCTGGAAACACAATGCGGACTGCTAAAACTGTGTTCGCTTGGGACGCCGGTTAAGTTAAACAACTTTTTCGTTTGAAGGAAGACAGTTCAGCGTCCATAACAATAAATGTCCGTATCAAAAACTAACAAATTATCTCCCCGCCATAAAGGGCCATAAAGGGCAGGCACTTTGTGGGTTGCCAGCCAGAAATAACTTGCCAGTCCTAAAAGTAAAACTGGCTGAAAGGAAGCAAGCAGACGAGATTCTCAGTTTGTCACTTGAACATTTAACCCCCATGCAGCCACAGAGCTCGGTGAAGCCTTTCTGTGCATCAGACACAAAATTCCTGCCAGCAAGATGACCATGATTCCACATGAAGCACATGAAATACATTTTTTTGAAGAAGGAGCACCCGTGAATACTATTATCAAATAAAGACCAGGGTGGGGGGCAGAAGAGAACCTGCAAGGACTGTATCTTTACATACATCGGTAATTTCTTAACTAGTATCTTCATGGCCTGTTCCAGGCTAAGAGAGAACAAGAATCATGTTTTGGATCATTTGTTTTCTGAGCGTTTCAAATCTCATCCTATTTGTATATAGATAAAAATATGAAGTCATCACTTTGAAGAAAGAGTTAGCTTTCCCCCAATTACTTACCATTACTTTGAAAGTAAAATTCAGATAGGTATGTGCTAACACACTTACGGCTGTACTACATCTTGCAACATTTCGGCCAAAAAAGTACGCTGAATTCTAAAGACTTGGTGCAAAAAAAGGCTACAGGCCCCTTACCACACAAAATACTGAGTTAGAGCACAGATAAAGGCACAGTCCTTAGTCGGTACTGAACAGTTATGAGCATTGCATATGGTGAAAAGTACGTAGGCTTTGCCAGTAATTGCTGTAATTAAAGGAAGGACTGTTCCATGATGAAATAAATATTTGGGAAACAAGGACTCTATTAGACACTAAAGTTCTGTTCTGATGAATGAAGGATAAGCATCAAAACACAATGCAATTTCATGACTTTAGAAAAACTCTAATGGGTGTCCTCCCATTTTGTAAGAGATGCCAATTAGAGGAAGTAAAAATTTTCCTCTGAACGAGAGAGAATGAACCATTGTTCATACAAGCCTTTCATCTAAAACATTTATGAAATAGAACACTAATAAAAGCCTTTACTTTTGTAATACCTCCATGAGTTTGTTTTTACATGTCCCAGTAAGTTGCTGTCATTTAGAACAAAGCATTCCAAACAGCTGTTATTAGTAGATTAAAAAAAAAAGAAACTTCTTAAAATAGGGCCAAACGCAGTCTCAACATTCTCAGTATTGTTACCAAAATTAATCTATGCTACACCTAGGTTTGCATATCACTTACCATATACGAAGGGAATATTAAAACCCGCTTATGTTTGCCACACGGCCATTGGGGATCATCTAGAAGATTTGGGTCATATTCAACGTAGTCTCCCAGGTCGCTACCTATAAAACAATTGTATAGATAAGAAAGCAATCAACTGCACCAAGAACTCTCTAGACTTGATATACATGGCAAACAAGTTCACAGACAATGCACAAAACGATCTTCATGCATTATTTTTGAAACAGTCTAAAGGTTTTGAATATCCCAACTCTAACTCTTTCAATAATAATATAATTTGCAAAGGTACAGAGAACCTACAGCTTATGAAAGATATAGAGCGCCTACAGCTTATGAATTATCTGGTAACTATGAACTTGCTGCTTAGAGAACCGCAAAACTGTACACCTAGAAAACTGCAAAATTATACATAGCTGCATAATCAAGCCTCAGGCTATAAGTCTGACAAATTAATGTGATTCCATGTACCTGGCCATGTTCAGATGAGAGGAAAGTGAGTGGGAAAGTATTTCTGAATTTTAATCCCAGCAACAAGTTTTCATCTGTTTATGCAAATATTTTCACTTATTGCAATTAACGTGCCAAAATATCCTAACCACACAGTGCTTCGGCTAATGTTTTGTGCCAGTTCTGTAAACACAGCTCTTCCCACTCCAGTAAAGGTCACAAGCATGATTTGCACGTTCAGCCTATGACTGCTATGTTGCCACTGTATATTTTCCATAGCAAACCAAGGTAACGATGGGCCGCACGTCGGAGGAACAAACAACGCCAGTGACAGAAGGAGGCACGCTGACAGCCATCAGGGGCTGGCAACATGACAGCGCACCCATAATCTTCTTTACTTAACTTTCCATGAGGCGTAAGCCAACCTGGCTACGCAAGCACAGGACAGGAGCGGAAAAGGCACTCCAAGATTGGTATGCTGTACGACATCAGCTAGGGACTACATTCTGCTTAATTTAAGCAAGAAAGGGGCTAAAACACAGCGTAACTCCCCCGAAAATCCTTCTCAAGAATTGCCTATCACAAGGGCATGCAAGGCTATTAAAACAAGCTGCCTAATAAGCTACCTGCATCAATGCTCCCTTGGGTGCTGTTAGCTCTTGCCAAAGAAAGGCTACGATGGCTTGCATTGCGAAACTGGGAGAAGGACGAGGTGGAGTCTATCGTGTTCCTCCGCGTTCCCAGAGCGTTCGTAGGAAATAAGAACTGGGTGTAAGAAACAGTCTAAAAAGAAATTCAGAACAGACAAGACAGTTACGATCCGCCCAGCTCAGCCACAGCAGGATTCATTCGGCACATCCCAGTTTGAAGCAAGGGAGGTCAAATCCGTGAAGGATTTCCCAGAGTTGATAGCTAGGCACAGATGAACATCAGTCACCTACGTTGTTTCAGTGTAGTCAGCTCACCCATGCACAAAAGCTTTCGCAAATGCATTAATATCTTAAACAAAACAAAACAGCACACACACACACACACACACACACACACAAACTCTAATATACTGGATTTACAAAATCCTGCTCAAAGAGCAGATTTTAAAATATACCAGTGTGGTCATTTTTTTCATTGGGCCTTCTCTGTAACAGATTTCAGCTGCTTCTTTATTGGCAACAGCACTCTCCTATATAATGCCACTCGGCACAGATCAGTGAAAGGCAAATCAGTCAAATGGAACTGAAGCGTTTTCTCTGGTATTTTTCTCCTTTAGGTCTTTGTCTGGCAGAGTCTTTTTGGTGTCATATGCGAGGCACTAGCCTACAGCAATGGTTGCTGGAGATCATCTGCTGCCTACCAATATGGACTATGAGTGAATGAATAACTTGTGACAAAAATATTTTTAAAGGATGCACCAATTTTCTACTTGCGCACTTGGACAAAAGCAGACTATGCCTTGCTTCTCATAGGTTTATTTTCCAAAAATACCATCATGCTGAAGAAAATAATGAGTCTCAGACCCTAGACTGATTTATGAGGAGGTCAGAACAGGTATCAAATAAAAGATGTGAGCTTTAACTTATATATATGAGTTGGCAGATTATCCTCAAGAAGTTACAGCCTGTGGTCTGGCCTGTCACTTGGTTAGGTGAGCATGCAATGCGTAGCAGCATTGACCTGGGGCCTTAAAACAACTAAATGACAGGAGACTGCATGAACAAACTGTAAAAAATGAATCAGGGTTTCAGCCATAAAGTTTTCATTTACGAATAAAATCATCTCTTTTCTATATATTTGCTTCAAATGAGTCACTTTCCCTGAAGACTCGTAATTACTTTTCCTATCCAAATGAATACACTTACAGATTTTGAAACACTCATCAGGTTTGTACTAGTCCGTTCCTGCTCTTTTGGAGAAATTCATTGTTAAGTAAAATTTATTTTATTAAATACAATTGAAAGGAAACAAAATTACAGCTTATAACTATTACCAGGAATTATTTTCCAGCTTCTATCAATATGCTCTGCAGTGCTGTGCTAGAGCCAGGGGAATGCTGTGTGATTCAGTAATACTTTACAGACTCAGATGCTGTCAGAGGCAGATTTCTTCAAGGAAACAGAGTGGTTTGCACTGACAGCTTGGACAGTCCTCGTGCATTTCTGCAAATTTTATTTACAGTTTTTACGTACTGTGCTTTAACTATTGTGCTGTACTACACATCATTGAAATTTATTTTCATATTTGTATCTGTCATTAGTTACATCATGTTTTTTCCTTATTACATAAAATGTGCAGACGAGGAACCGAAGCATTCCCACCTTCCCATCTGCTCCCAGCTCCACACCTTCAAGACCAATTATTTCTTTCAGACACACTCCTGCAGAATGGCATTGACGTCCACTGTCCAACTTCACATCCCTGGAGAACAAAACCCAGAGGTCAGTACCCCTTTCTTATGAGAAGCAGAAACACCGCCTAATACACACCCCTTAATTACCTTCCACCACACAAAGCTGAAAAAAGGTTAACAGCAATAATCCAAACTTATCAATGCAAAGCACAGACCAGACAACTTTTCCTACGGGTAGCGCTGTGCTGTTTAAAAACACATCACAGCTGTAAGTCATATAAAAATCCCATTTTCCTCCAGTTGACAGCCCATCTTCAACTCATGGTGCAAAAATAGGTTCCTAATAATTGGGTGCATCTGACAGAATTTAGAAGTAGGAGAGGGATGGGAATCATAAACTTCAGGTGAGACCTAGCTTAAACACTTTAAATCTCTCTATCGAATAGACCTACCCTTCTAGAGTAAATATCTAGATTTCCCTACACTGTCAGTACAGAGAAATAGCTGCCTTGGAAAGCTGCCGGTGGGAACTTCTGCTCGTCTAAGCAGAGAAGGGTGTTTAGAGCTGAGTGAAGAAGCTCTCCTCCTTGAGGCCATCAAGAGGAATCCAGCTTTCCTCCCATCACCTCTGGACGGAAACTCGGGTATTTATTTTTGGAGGACTGATCCATTTGGCATTTTACACTTGAAGTTAAATGACATGTCTAAGAGAATAAGGCTGTAGGCCATGCTTTAGCCTCACAATCAAGATGACAGTGAAGATAAAAAAAGACTGCAAGTGAATTTGTGCTCCACAAACGATGACTCTGTACAGCTGTGGAAAATTCATCTTGTGATACTTTGGTATCCACTTAGGTCCAAGGGTGTGCTTAAACCCTGTGTCTGCAATTTACATTAAGCATATACTTAATCACCTCCAGTTGAATAAGGTTTTGTGTAGCCTCATCCCAGTATCATTTCTAGGTGTGTGTGATCCAACTGATTTCAATGGCAACAGAAACTTCAATTTGCTCAGATTTACTGATGTTAACAATGTGCTTAAGGGCTTCACTGGATCACGGCCTGCAAGTTTTTAGCTGAAGTCCACTGTAGTCGTGCGAGAGATGCTGACGCTAAACCCCACACAGAGAAGTCCTGCAGACTCTTCCTTTGATTGCTGGACTGGGCTGTTTCATATTTTCTCTTTGCGTATCCTATTTCCCTTTCCTCAGTTTGCAACTTGTCATTCCCTTTCTTTCCTTGAAAAATGCAAATAAAGGGTGTTGCCAAGAAATCACATATTTTGCTTCTGAAATAGATCCAGCCCATCTATCTGCTGGAAAACGTTTTCCTGTGACAAAGGAAAACACTGTATCAAGCATTTAATCCAGACAAAGCCCTCTTAATTTCTTGACTGGGATTCACTTAGCACAGTGTCACACTATCGTTCTGTTTCCTGATACCATATGACTGAGAGGCCGGAAAAATAATTATATGAAAACAACCATCTACGAGAAGCATCAGGTTTGCCTCTCCATTCCTGTGCAGAACATGCTTAAAGAAACTCCTCTCAAACACAAAAATGCTAAATAATCATCATTTCGGAAGGTCTTAACTAAGAAACAAAACATACAACTTGAAAAAGCCCCTTAACGCAAAAAGCAAAACAAAAATCTGAATTATCTGAAATAATATCAGAGTAGTTTAGTATCCTTTCCCTCAAAATCCTACAGGCACAGAGTAAGAAATAATGCCATCATGCCTGTGAAAACAAGTCACGAAGAAGACTCTCCTGTGGAGTTAATAGACAAGGAGAGAGAACTTTGTTTAATACATCAAAGGCAAAACTGGCGCCCTGTAAGGAGTCAGCACAGCAGCTCTTCAGAAAAGAGTGGCTCTGGGGACTTAAAAGAAACCAGCTCTTTGGGAGTCGAGATGGAGATGAGGGTCAGCTGGCAAGTGCAAGCCTGCACTGGAAGGCAGTGTCCAGTGTCCAGCTAATGTCCTCAACATTAGCTAAGATCGATGAAGAAGAGTGCCTCCAATTTTCCTGTCTTTCTGACGTTTCTAAAAGATGTGTCTACCTCCAGGGCCCCAAAACACCCTGAAACAGTGTTTTGGGGGGCTGCTTAGTCTTCCCCTCCTTTGCACACGACCTGTATTTGTAGGTAGTACATGACTGCTTGGGTTGTAAAACAGAGTAATCAAGTATTATTGTTTTGGAAAGACACTTGTTGTCCTCAAAACAGAGAATTTAACTCACTTTCTTGAGGAAAACCAGTACAAAAGAGTGTGCTGTTTCTGTGTGTAAGCGAGAAAGATCATGCTAGTTTATACAGATCCTCCTCTCACCAGTAAAAGATCTTGGCAAACATATAACATGCAATTCCTAAGCTACTTTACTCCATTCTTTTGTGTGTTGCCTATTACTAAGCCCAACAGCAAGTCACGTTTTTGCTGGGCAAACCTTGATTTTTTCCCTCTGCTTATTACAGGCAAAGAAGTTCATGAATTTTGCCTCAGCAAAGCTGTTTTTGGATAACTGCTGACCGAGCTGGCTAAAAATAATAATAATAAAAATAAACCCTTTTGGGAATGTAAACTAAGTCAGGTTATAGCTGCTTGTGTGGGGAACTGTCATTAACTGCAAACTAAAAACCAGTGTCCTCGGGTGCTCGGGCAGCTCCTCCACCTGGGAGAGCAAGCCCAGGGCAAGCCCAGGGCACGCATGCTGCGGGAACCCCAAAACAGCTGCTTCCTCGTGAAACTTCTGAGACCACAAAAGGCTCCTTAGAGCAACCAAGCAAGCGTGGGGATATGCCTCCACTTTGCTATCTACAAAATGGGTAAGTTGTGCCCAGGAAACAGTCGGGATGGTTGTTGGGGTACAACCGGCGCAGAAAGGGCTGGCTACCCCAGAGCGGAAAACCACCGCCGCCAAGTTCTTCAAGCCTCAACCCCTACGTGGTGCCACGGTCAATGGGCCCAATGGAGCAGGGAACATATGGAGGACAGGCACTTCAAAAAAAGTCAAACTCTATGTCAAAGTTATTCAGATTACCTATAGCACCGAGCAGCCACGTAAACCAATATGCAGTAGTAAAAGGTGTTTAAAGATACAGAATAGAGAAGATAGTCCTTGCCAAAGAGGCCTTTAAGCAAAGAAAACTTCTTTCCTCATTTTTGATTTTCCTAGGTTTTATTTTTCAAAAGCACTTTTTTTAAAACTAAATTTTCAAGGGATTTGAGCAGATGCCAAAAAGTTAAGATTAAAAAAAAAAGTTGAGATAAATCATGGGAACTTAATTTTGCAACCTTCATTGTATTTGAGCAGGGAAAGCTTAAGGAAATGACAAGATCAGGATGACATTTCCTTAGGAGACAAAAAAACAGAACGCATTTTCCTACAAAGTTTGGGGAGTCACCTTGATTTACATGCATGTCAAACTCTAAATATTCTATTCGCACATCTCATTTCCAAAAAGCGTGTTGCTTATAAACCACACCCAAAACTAAGCATATCATTTTGGTTATCTGAGACTGAAGAAAACAAAACAGAAGAAAGTTTCTCCCCCAACACATTTCAGAGTTTTTCTGGAACAGTACTGCATAACTTGTGAATGCAAATTCTTTGTTGAACGGTGACATTTTTTCCTGAATTTCACCTTACGGAGTATTGAATAAACAAGAATAAAAACAGGAAATCTCACCCTGTGCATTTTATTAGCCAAGCATGGATTAACAGAATATAAATTGGATAGTATTAGCTTTGGAAGTGTAACATTTCTTTAATGAATCAAACGTATGCTTTGACGCGATCCATACAGCCCCATGCAAGATTCCTGCTGGGCACTTGCTCTTTAAACGACAGCAACAGTTGAACACTTTAACCTGTTAATAATTTAGGAGTCAATTAAATATTAAATGGCTTTCTAGATACATAAAAAACCCTTCGACTTATGGCAAAAGCAATCTGATAATTGTTATTTAGAGATGTAATCTTTTGTGTCTATATTTTATGCTTAGTGATTCCTAACTATTAAGATTTACTCCAAAAGCAAAAGCAGTTCATGAGACATCAAGAGAAAATTCTGTCCTTACTCTGTAACTAATTTCTGCTCGCTGTCTCTGTTTACAGGGACAAGGAAAATGACAGCTTTGGAAAGGATATGCTGCCAGCCAGTCTAACAGCGTTTCTCCCACTGACAAGGCTGATTAAGGCTGCCTGCTTTAATTCATCTTTGTTTTCAGATCCTAATTGCCATTAGGACTGCTAGAACAACAACTCTATCTGCAATTTACAGGGAAAGGAGGTGGAGCAACTGGCGGAAAGGTGCCTCTAATGCGCCAGTATCCTTTTTTTCTCTCTATTCAGGTGTCAGCATGTCAGCTCTTGTCTTGATGCTTTGCCCAACGTGGAGAAAAAGCTCAGCGTTTAAACCTATTACCGTTTTGAGATTCATGAACCTCACCAAAAAATGAGCAATGGTGGCTTTATAAAATTCACACATGATATTATTTAGTTTGAAACGTCCTGTTCTGTGGGAACAATCCAGATTTATCTATCTTTCTTTAAAGCAAGTACGCACTTGTTTCTGGTTTTTGTTCTGGTTGGCAGAGAGGAAGGTGCTGGGTAGAAGCAAGGAATGCGGGCAATGGTAAAGAAAGGCAAGGACATTTCAGACTCCTTGTTAAATGCTAAAAATAGATAGTTATTCTTCCCAAAGTCTATGGAATGATAACTGCTCAGGAAATGTGCCTGACATCGATGACTTAATCAAAACTGCCTCGCATAGAAAAATCTATTGGGGAAGAAGAATAGCAAGGAACTTGGTAACAAGTCTGACGGACGTTTCCCGTTGTCTACATTCACTGCAATGCCTGTTAGCTGACCTGCCAAACTAACTGACCGTGTGTGGGACAAACTCCCTTAATCGTTTCTATATGCCTCACTTTGCACAACCCTGAAGATGAGCGAAGACTGCTTCTGAATGTAGACATGACAGCCGATGCCAGTGCCTGGCCTACTGATTCACCAGTCATTGTGACTACATGTTATTTGGGATGACAGTTTTGAAAATGTCTTCTT